CAGCCAGGTGTGTTACAGGTGGCTATTACCGCCCCTTCCCCCAGTGGAAGACTGCTGGACGCTTTCAGAGGGACACGGAGACACGGGTAGATTTGCAATTCACGGACAGTACACACAACACAGCATTCGATTAACGTGTAACGATTATTATTGTCATTTCCGATTTTCTTTTCCTCTCCTAAAATTAATCATTATCAACAGCAATCATGATTATTTATTATTGTTACGTGGCCACTTAAACTGATTCCATTTACGGACAAATGTAAGGATGGGGAGGCGTTCGAACAAACAAGCACGTGGAGAGAGTGAGGACGGGTTCAAGGACACATTGAGACGCAGCGGTGCGGGCTAACGCGTGAACTGTGTTCGCTTTCCCTGAAGTTACCCCGCTGTCAGATCAGAGGTTACCCCCGACAGAAGCAGCGGCAAAATCCCCCCTTTCTTGCACTGGAATATCATCATGAACATCATCAACATTTTATTATTCGTAGTAATAATAATATATTATTATAACATCTATATATCCACCACCATTCTCGGCACATCAAGTAACGTGTTGGTTTTAGTCATTGCTGTCTGATGACACGAATCGAGATCGTTTATATTATTTATATATATGGCTTTGGAGGCTTGTTTTTTTATATATAAAGGGAGTGGAGGGAGGGTTCGACAAGAGAAGCCAAGCTCGGTGATAATTTACGCATTCCACGTGGACACCACGATACAGTTTGTGCACGTGCACACACGCGCGGTGTGAGTTGAGATGAATTGTGAATTGCGAGAGTGGGTCGTGAATTTGTACTCCGACCTGCACTGAACCAACCGGCGGACGTGGCACGCGGCACATTCGGAGGCAGGGGACCCGTGTGCTCGCCTCTGGGGGTGGGGGTGGCCACGCAAGCGGCGATGCGAACGGGAGTCGGCACGGACACGCGGGACAACAGCGATGCGCTACGGTCGTCGTTTTTAAACGCGTAAATAGTCAACGACGCGACGCGAGGCTCGGGCAACACGAGGGCGACACGAGGGTGGAACGATTGATTGGACGAAAGGGGTGGTGGGGGTGGGCGACCACGGGATGTGTTTTTTTTGTTTTGTTTAACGCGACATGATGTAACCATGATTACGATAAACACGCAAGAACGGACGTACGAAACACGCACGCAAAGATGCAGGCCCGAGAGTTACGAACGAACGAACGCACACACACACACATGCATGCACACACGAGCGCACGCGTACGCAGCGCAACGCAATCACGGACGCACGCGACGCACGGACGCGCACATGCACACGCGACGCACACGGAACATCGACCAAAGCAGGGCGCGGGCTCCACACGGAGCCAGGTTTGACCCCTTGCGATGACCCCGGGACCCCGCGCGGGGTTCCGGGGTCATCCCCGGGGTCCCGAGTCACCGATTAACCGCGAACATGGAGCCCGCCGACCACGAGGCGAGAGTGCTCGCCATCTGACTCGTGGTACGACGAGTGAGTGGTGGTGATGGTGGTGATGGCAGTGGTTAGTATGGAGGTAGTGGCCGTGATGGTGGGTGGCTGCGGTGATGACTTTGGTGGTGGTCGTTATGATGGTGACTGTGGTTGTGGTAGGGGCAGTAGTTTGGTGGTTGCAATAGTAGTAGTTACAGTGATGGTGGTGGCGGGTAGTTGCTGTGGTGGTGGCGACGGTGGTGGTGATGGTGGTGGTTGGTGGTTATGAAGGTCACGAGACAGATGCGTGACAGTGACTTTGGATGGAGCGAGGGGATCTGGAGGTGGAATTCAACTCAGGACTCTAAGCGACGCAACAGATAATCTTTTGCAGCGAACACTGCCGGCGACGACTCCACGCACAATGCTTTGCTTTTGTTATTGCTTCTACTTTAATGTAATAATATATTTATTTAAAATGTTTTCGTACATTATAGCTCTCATACAAAACCTATAGCACTCATGACAGCTGTTAATACGACAACAGCACAACGCGCTATCTGCACTCCGTGGCCTCGGGCGTGGCTCTGGGGGACACGTTACCAAAGCTAACCGTGTATTAGTGTCGCTTTGCCTCTGTGCACCTAGCCTGGCACAAGCGCCGCAGTCACGTCACCACCACTTTGTGACGAACGGTGGCTGTTGTTGTGTCTGTCCGTGTGTGTGTGTGTACGTATGTGCGTGTGTGTGTATTTGTTTAAATAAAATACTATTTTTTTAATTAGGATCCAGGCATCAACTTGTCGTCGTGACTCGCCCGCGTTAAGAATGAGATCGCCGCCGTGTGCCCGAAGGGGAGCGGCTCGAGAAGCGTTGCGCAGTCTCCCGGCCGCTCAACAGCGGGCCAACGGGGGGGCTGGCGGGGAGTTGGGAGGCGGCTTTGTCTGCTGTGCCACCCAACATTAACTCCGTGACATTAATCAATAATGACGGCAACAACAAACACACAACCTATAGGGAGTGGAGGTGGTGGGGGGGGGGTTATAGGGTTAATTACAACAAAAAAACCGATCCCACACTAAAGCTGCTGCTCGCTTTACTCTCGTGTGGCGAGAAACGATCAAGCGTGGAGGCGTTGCTGTGTCCACAACCACCACGCAACGTCACCAACTACAGGCAGTAGAACCCGGCCCAGAGATGCCTCTCCCATGTCTCGGTTTCATTTTCACGGCTGTGGGCAATGACGGTTGAATTTCGCGATAGCCACGTGAAATGTGAGCGGGGTTATCGGATACATCAACTCGTGTTGGGCCGTATGAATCGAATGGGTGCGACGAAAGGTGTTGCGACCTATCGTGAGACTTCACATGGGCAAGAGGGGCATTTAAACGTTGGGTCGCGAGTTAAGGAAACAAATACGTGACGGGCACGTCTGTACGGTCACGATTATGATCAATTGTGAGCGTCATCATCATCAATTGATCGTCATGATCAAGTGTGATCATCATCGCTGTCGTTGGCGATCAACATCGTGATGGGTATCATCGTAATGACGATGTTGATAAAAAAAAAAGTTAACATCATCACAATTGCCGTGATAATCGTCACTCGACCATGTCAAACTGTTAAAGTTGCGTGCCTCAGACTGTCATAACATTTTCACAATCCCCGGACGAAATTATAAAAATTACATAAACTAAACTATTTTTTTATTTTACCATGTAAGGCCCACTGAGCTATATAGCTGTTTCAGAAGCAACATGGCCACAAATGATAGCCCAATGAGGTGGCTTATTGCGCGCAAATGTTTCGCAGCAGCAAAATACCCGCAACGCGTGCCGATTCCAAATGTGGTGGGGAAAAACCGGAGGACCCGGACAAAAATCCACGCGACCACGGGGGAGAGAACACTGCAACGCGCACTTTGTCCACAGCCGTAGCCGCCGCAGAAGCAGCAGGAGACGGAGTTGGAGCTCCACCCCAACCGGAGCTCTCAAGCGGCAAGAGCCACGACCGAGTGGAGTCGTGCGGCGCAGTCGAGCGGTGATGTTTTGCGTGGTTTGGCTTTTGGGTTTTTTTTTAAACATTTTATTCCCTTTGGTTTACTTTTGTCTCTGAGGCTCCGTGGTGCAGCGTGACCGCACGTGCAGACGGGGGGGGGACCGGTCTGCACAAACGCTGCAGCTCGACTCTCGCAACAGATCCAGTTAATTCTATGGTATGTTGAGTTTATTGCTGCTGATATTATCTCATTTAACGGGGTGTGCGCCACCCTGCCTGATATCAGACGTTAGATAATCTGCGATTAACCCACGAGAGATCGCCTGATTATGCGCCGGTTCTCACAGCGTTCGTTTTATACAATTTGAAACTTTGCCTGCTGTGCCGAACGAGGTGCCGCGTGATACGCAGTCGCGGACCGCCTTCGGTCCGCGGGTCACGAGGGGCTCCTCCAGGCGGCGGTGCCCGAGAATCACGTTCGACGCGGACACAGCTGCTCGCAAGAAACGCGTGGAGTCAGCTCGAGCATTAATGTGAAAATAATGACGATAAATGCACCTGATAAACTCCCATTAGTCACACGCGTAAATCACCACCTTCCATCATGATCTGTAGACACAAAGACAAATATCACCTGTATAGCCTCAACAGACTGGTAGGGCAAGTACTGTTAGCGAGCACCTATGGGTGGCCAGCACCACCAACCGACTGCCTTTGTCTCCCCAGTGGAGATATTTTTACACATCTCGGGCAGGCCCAGGACCGGTTCAGATAATCGTCACTGGTGTTGGCCGTGAGCGGGAATCGAACTCAGGTGGCCGCTAACCGCTCCACTACCGCTCCACACGACGTGCACACACGCACAGAGACAGCATTAGTGGCACGTGATACATGACTCAATAACGCTGAGAGTTATGCTAAAATCATAACAGCATTTAAATCCCAGCCCACGTGAGTCGCGAGGGATCAAATTGAAAATCCAACCACGGGAGACGAGACATGACGGGGGAGGGGGATAACGCGGAGCGCGGCTGAGTGGGATGTAGCCCGTGGTGGTGGTGGTTGTTGTTGTTGTTTGTTATTGGTGTGAGTGACACCTACGACCCATGGCATTAAACATTGAGAGGCTGCGTTGGCAGAGCTGTGCAAATCCGCGCATCTCGAACAACGCCGCCAACCCTCGGCCACGTACGCGCACACCCTCAAACGCAGAGCTACTTATATTCATTAGGCTGACGTTTCAGGCAGTGCCCTCTTATTCAGGGCAGAGATGCAGAGAGGGCGGAGAGACTGTTCAGTGGTCCCGCGTTGCTCTGTGGGGCCACTGAACAACATTGGGAGGTAGTCGCCCTGCCGACCCGTGAACAGCTTTCAAGTTAGCAATTAATTTTGCTCAGTTGGTGTTTTGCCGCTGAGGTCGTGACGGGTTTATTTTTTCATTCCTGTTGTCCGTGCCACCCCCCCCCCCCCTTCTGTACCGTTCCCCTTCTGCTGTAATGTGCACTGATGCCTCCTTTATTATTGGCACGTAAAATAAAGATCGCTCAATTGATTAAAAGTCACATTCACAGCCGCTACCTGTCCCTCATCCTATGAACGGTGAAGATTAAAAAAAACGTAATTTCTTAAACCTCGCATAATTCTCATGGTGAACATTATCAGTTGTGGCTTTTTGTGTTACTTCATCAAAGGTCACATGTCGTATATGTGACCTTGTTATGTGACCTTGTTCCAGTAACAATGGAAAGTTGGTCCAACGTTGGCTGGCCACACCTAACAGTGCTGCCTTACTTATCACATGGGCCAATCACTGTGTCTCTTTATACTCCGAAGGGCCATTGCCCGAAACGTCAGTACAGTCTATGCATGTTATAAGGCGGCGTTAAATTATTAAGGTGGTGAGTCGTGTTCGTGATTGGTGAGTTGGTGTACGTTTGCAAAGCGCGAATACCAGGGATTGAACCGTGAACCTGGGGGAGATGGAGAGGGAAATAGGGGGAGGGGATAGAGTGGGGGGGGGTGTCCGGGTGGGTTCCTGTGGTGTCTCTACGCGCGCGCGACCAACACAGCTGTGAACAATTAATCATTTAAAATAATAACGTGTATACAACACACACACATACATACGCCTACGCACGATGCAACGATAGCAACAACATGCGGGACACGTCCGCGTGTCACGTGAGTTCTAAAGCGCGCGGAGACGCTGCGAGCGCGGGCAGCAGTACGTGACTACGACACCTGCGCCCAGGTGAGAGGAACGGGGCTTCCATCACAAGCCCCCCACCCCCAACTCCTCTCACCACCTTCCCCAAACTCCCCATCCCTCCCCTCCTCCTCCCACTCCCAGCCTGATCAGTCACTCGCATCCCCAGCACCCAGGTACGGATAAGGGAGGTCGGAAAGGAGGTGGCGGGGGGGGGGTGTAGGTGGGGGGGGGGCTACCTGGGCAAGTGGAGGGGCCGGGTCACCCCGCACACGTGACGCGCTGCTGCATATTGAGTGAGGTCTCTTTGGAAAGGTGCACAGCGCCCCAGTGTGTGGGTGCATGTTGGCGTGTGTGCACCTAGCCTGGCACAAGCGCTGTGGTGATGTCACGTCGAATGGCGGCCGTTGAGTGTTTTATGTATGCACGCGTTATAGACTTCAATATAGCATATGTGTGTGTGTGTGTTTATGCGTTATGCGTGTGAAAGTAAATATGTATGCAATGTGTGTATTTGTGGGCTGTGCATGTATTTATGTATGTGTTTGTCACTAAACGGTTGCATTTAGATGCCGTATAAATGCAAACGGTATCCATATATGTGTATCAATGCATGTGTGTGTTTATGCATGCATGTATATGTATTTATGTACATGTCTGCGTATGCATTTTGTTATTTGTCCACAATTTCCCGCAGGCAGCTCGCGTTAGTCCTAAGCTCGCACACGACGTGGGATTCCCGAGTCACCACCGTCTGCAGCTCGCCCTCAACCAGTGTCAACATCCCAGCAGGCGATGGGAGTGGGCGAGCGGGTGCGAGTGAGTGAGCTGTTGAGTAAGCGTGCATTTCAGTTGGTGCCTGAGCGGATGAGTGAGCTGGCAAAGGAGTTAGGTGGAAATCAATCGAGCGAGCTAGGGGGTGAGTGAGTGTGTGCAGGAGTGCGTTGGCGAGTGAGTGAGCGAGTGTGGCAGTGGGTGAGTGAGCGAGCAAGGTGGTGAGTGGAGCTGACGGTTCATGGCGGTGACACCTCCCCATAACCCGTGCCATAACCCGAGCGCACTAGAGAGGGCCTCGCTAAGTAACGTCATGGCCACAGCTCACTCATTCAATTAATTCATTCACGTCGCCAATTCATTCACACGGATCCCCAGCCTTCATGGCTGGCGGCTGGAACCAGGATTTTCCCGTTGAAATCCAATTTCAGCCACTGGTCATGAGCAATGAGATAATTATTCATAACCAATCGCGCTCCGCGATCGTTCATTTTCTATAATTCCACGACAAGGAAATAATTATATTTATATATTTTTTGCAAGAGTTGAGCAGCTGAACGTGCCTGAATCACAGCCAGATTTGGAAATGTTACCGCAGCTGTTTAATGGAGGCTGCTTCTTGTGACGAATGGGATAAAAAAAAGCCCTCTCTGATTCAAACTCACTCCAAGAAGAAACTTTTTTACACTCGGCAAAACATCACCAACACTATTATTACTACAATTCAACACTCTTATGACTTTTTTTTGCAGCCACAACTCAGCCGTGGCTCCGAGTGGGTTGGGCGACTCAAGCCCAATCAGCAGCATCATCGTTTATTATTATTATTATAAAAGCGTGCGAATGCTGCATTTGTTGTCGAGTGGCGGTGTGCGTGCCCCCCCCCCCCCCCCCCCCGGGGAGAGAACGAAAATTTTATCCCTGGTCAATTTGACCACCGTAATTGGTTTCACCCAACAAGTTTGGCCACCGTCATTGGTTTCGCCCAACAAAGGGTCCCGGAGGCTTCCCGCCGGTCCCCCGCCGGTGGCCCCGCGCTGGTGTGACGGTGGAGGGAGCCACCGGGGCCCACGTGGAGAGACACCGGGCCGAATTCTCATCTCGACGCAACTTTTAAAAGTCTCACTGGGAAATTCGCGCGCCCCCCCCCGCCCCTCCTGCCAACACCCCCCTCAAAAAAAGCGCCGATTTATTATTACTCGTCGTCATTAACGACGACGATGTCGGTGCCCGGAGTTCCGTGAAGACGTGAATCCGATATTTAGTGTAAGAGACCGGCCGCCCGCTTAAGCTTCGCCAGAACATTCCGGAAAAAACGGCCGTTCTGGGGAATTAATCTTTTGGCACCCAACCGCGTCATCCATCTCACGCCAAATTGTGTCCTAAAAACTGTTCATAGGATTGCAGGAATGTAGGTACAATAATATAGGATTATTTCATGGATAAGGCGTCACCTTGTACTCGCGTGGAAATGCATTGTGCCGGTAATCGCCGAGCCAAGCCAGCCCCGAGCAGCCTCGCCGGAGAGTCGTGAAGCGAGAAATTAAAAGCCCATGGCGAGGACCAACGCCTCGGCAAAACTTTCCCCTTCTGTTGCAACTCCGAGAGAGAGCCGTGCGGCTTGCCCCAACACCCAGTTACAACATCCATGGCGCGTCCGCATAATAAAACTCTCCTTCGTGAATTTAGGACCGAACAAAAAAAAACACCTTCTCGTGAACGTACGTTTTTTTTTCTTTGCAACTGAAAAGACAAGCCCGTCTTACATTATTGAAATATCGTCAATATATTTTTCCCAAAAAATGTTTTTGCGTTTGTTTGTTTGTTTCCGTCTCACTCGGGGCTTCTCAATAATTAGAATGTTTACATTCTTTATTTTTAAATGCATTTTCAAAAGACCAGTTTGAAAAAAAAGACATCATCACCACCATCATCAATCATCACCATCGCTACGGCAATTATTATTATCGTCGTCGTAATTAACAACAACAATTAACGAACTGCAGGCCTGACCTGGTTTGGCTGATTCATCTGATCTGATTATCTGTGCGTCGAGTGCGAGCTGAGCGAGCTGAGCGCCTCTTCCCCCATTTCCCCGCTCCTCTATTTCTTGAACATGTCTTGCAGCGGCCCGGGGAGGAACTTTATGACCGAGTCGAGGATGTTTTCCTCTTCCTCCTCCTCCTCGCCGCAGCCGGCCGGCACCGCCTTCTTGGGTCGCGTCAGGCTGCCCTCGCACGGCATCTCCATGGCCGCGTTCGCCTCCGCCTCCCGCTCCTCCTTCTTCTTGATCCCGTACTGCGTGTGCGTGCGTGCGTGCAAGGGATGGAGAGCGGTAGGGTAACGGTTAGTGCTGCTGCTCACGGTCAACACCGGTGGCGAATTAGTGAACCGGTCATGCGCCTCCCTTTGGTCGACTCAGCCTCGAATGAGCGCCTGGTGCCGTGTGTCGTAAACATCGCCACTGGAGAGACAAAGGCGGCCGGGCGTGGTGTTGGCCACTCAACCCCCTCGTGTGCCGTGGCGGCCTTCATAGGGTGCTCGCTAACAGCATTGGCCCCAACAGTCTGTTAAAGACTATACGGGGGGTCTTTGTCTTTGTTGTGTAAGGGGTGGGGAGAGGTGGTGAAGTGATTAGCGCGCTACGCTACAAACTCGACTACCCGAGTTCGATTCCCGCTCACGGCCAACACCAGTGACGATTATCTGAACCGGTCCTGGGCCTCCTCTAGGTCAACTCAACCTCAACTGAGTACCTGGTGCGATGTGGAAACATCGCCACTGGGGAGACAAAGGCGGCCGGGCGTGGTGTTGACCACTCAACCCCCTCGTGTGCCTTGCCAGCCTTCATAGGTGCTCGCTAACAGCACTGCCAGCGATATGAAAGCAGAAACGAACAACACTTGCCCCAACAGTCTGTATGCGTTTGCAGGGGATCTTTGTCTTTTTCTTTGTGCAACTAAATCCGCTACTTTGGCCACTTTCCAATCATCCCACTCGACTCCGTCCCACGCAGCCGTAAATCTGTCAGCATGGAGGTGAACACTGCCGGCAAAAAGCAAGAAGCGGTGGTTGGCGGTGGGGGTGTAAGGAGATGTGGGGCGATCCGACGAGATGTTATGAGGTGGGAAGAGAAGTCGGGCATTGCGATGAGGTGCGAGACGTGGTAAGGAGCAGCGAGGAGAAACGAGTCTATGGGAATACGTGAGAGGAGATGTGAGGATACGCAAGTGTATGCGAGATGCGAGGAGACACCAGGAGATGCGAGGGGATGTGAGGAGATGTGAAAAACGCGGAAAGATGCGAGGAGATGGGAGGGAGATGCATAGACACGTGACGACATTCTCCGAGACGCGAGGACATCTCAGGCAGGGCCAGACGAGACGTGGGAAGACGTCAGTGAGATGCGGGGGGTCGACTGCCAGTGGCTGTAGTGGCCTGCAGCAAGGTGATTCCCCCGAGTTAGTCGAAGTTTGAGCCGCGAGGGACGCGTTCGGAGGCTGGTGACCGCACCGGGCGAGCGGCTCCACCGCCGTTCGGAATTAGCGAAGCCGCTCACGTGTCAATGCGGAAGTAGAAATCACGCCGCTGGGTGGGGAAGGGAGGGTGGGGAGGGGCTGGGTGGGGCTGGGTGGGGCTGGGTGGGGGGTGGGGGGGGTGGGGCTGGGTGGGGAGGGGCTGGTCACCCCGTGGTGCCCTTATAAAACTCAACGTTTAACCTACTCACGCCGGCTTGTGCCCGCCCTCACAGTCGGGTATATTTGCGGGATACACCACGTGGTGCCGCCGTTGACCCTGGCCATTGACCGAGCAACCCAACGTTCCTACCAGCTCCTCCCTCCGCAGGAGGATGTGTTTTACAAGACAGCACTTTAACATCCCCCCCCCCCTATACAAGTTGGGGGTGCGTCTGATAATCCGGTAGCTGCGTGTGGGCGTGCCTGTGTCGAGATGTGCATAACTCTATTGACATCGGACACAAGTCTTGGGGAGTGAAATAGTAATATGAATACGCTAACATAATTTAGTGTGTGTGTGTATGATAACCACGCCATTGTTATCGCGTGGATATCATGACGTAGGCGCTGTGTATCACAGATGGGGGTATAGTCTGCCGGTAGGGGGCGATGTTGCTACTTTAATTTTACGACGCCTTCAATACAGACCATCACTCAGTATTCAATATGAACCTTAACAACGAAAGCCTTTTAGATGGAACCTCAACATTGGCTTTCAACGTAGTCGCAACTATGGGGCTTTTAAAACTCACCTTCGCGACACTTTCAAGATTGATCTTCGGTTGATTTGAAAAGCGTCGACCGCTGGCCACGGACGGTGGAGGATTGGGAACGGAATCGTTTGTGGCAGAGTCGAGGATGAATGAACAACAGCCGCCTCGCATCTCAAACTCGGCACCACGGCAGGTGTCTGACGCCGAGCGAGAGACAGAACGGAGACCAATTCAGGAGCCCTACTCACTTTTTGGACTTTGGACCGATTTGTGTAAATGCGGCGGTAACTTTTTGTGCCACTCTACCAGCGCCCCTCCTGCGAAGGTTGCCTTGGCTTGGTTGGGAAGTTGACACTGTGGGTCTGCGACGTGCACTTCGACCTCGTGGACTAACTTATCTGTTATGATCGCGTTATCGTTGTTCTATTTTAGTTTTGGTGCAATTTATTTATTTATTATTAATATTGGCGAGAAGCACCCGGCGTTGACCGGGGGGGGGGGGGATATATTTTAATACCTTCTCTTAAAAACATAACATATACATACACAAATACTGAGCTATTGTGAAAGCCCGGAGTGCCATTTGTCTATCTATTTGTCCGTCAACAAAATTCTAAGAGGCTTGCAGAAGTCCAAAAAGTTATCGAAAGTGGGGGGTAAATAGTTGATCTACAGTGAGGGAAAAAAGTATTTGATCCCCTGCTGATTTTGTACGTTTGCCCACTGACAAAGAAATGATCAGTCTATAATTTTAATGGTAGGTTTATTTGAAAAGTGAGAGACAGAATAACAACAAAACAATCCAGGAAAACGCATGTCAAAAATGTTATAAATTGATTTGCATGTTAATGAGGGAAATAAGTATTTGACCCCTTCTCAATCAGAAAGATTTCTGGCTCCCAGGTGTCTTTTATAAAGGTAATGAGCTGAGATTAGGAGCACACTCTTAAAGGGAGTGCTCCTAATCTCAGCTTGTTACCTGTATAAAAGACACCTGTCCACAGAAGCAATCAATCAATCAGATTCCAAACTCTCCACCATGGCCAAGACCAAAGAGCTCTCCAAGGATGTCAGGGACAAGATTGTAGACCTACACAAGGCTGGAATGGGCTACAAGACCATTGCCAAGCAGCTTGGTGAGAAGGTGAAAACAGTTGGTGTGATTATTCGCAAATGGAAGAAACACAAAAGAACTGTCAATCTCCCTTGGCCTGGGGCTCCAAGCAAGATCGCACCTCGTGGAGTTGCAATGATCATGAGAACGGTGAGGAATCAGCCCAGAACTACACGGGAGGATCTTGTCAATGATCTCAAGGCAGCTGGGACCATAGTCACCAAGAAAACAATTGGTAACACACTATGCCGTGAAGGACTGAAATCCTGCAGCGCCCGCAAGGTCCCCCTGCTCAAGAAAGGACATATACATGCCCGTCTGAAGTTTGCCATCTGAATGATTCAGAGGACAACTGGGTGAAAGTGTTGTGGTCAGATGAGACCAAAATGGACTCAACTCGCCGTGTTTGGAGGGTGAGGAATGCTGCCTATGACCCCAAGAACACCATCCCCACCGTCAAACATGGAGGTGGAAACATTATGCTTTGGGGGTGTTTTTCTGCTAAGGGGACAGGACAACTTCACCGCATCAAAGGGACGATGGACGGGGCCATGTACCGTCAAATCTTGGGTGAGAACCTCCTTCCCTCAGCCAGGGCATTGAAAATGGGTCGTGGATGGGTATTCCAGCATGACAATGACCCAAAACACACGGCCAAGGCAACAAAGGAGTGGCTCAAGAAGAAGCACATTAAGGTCCTGGAGTGGCCTAGCCAGTCTCCAGACCTTAATCCCATAGAAAATCTGTGGAGGGAGTTGAAGGTTCGAGTTGCCAAACGTCAGCCTCGAAACCTTAATGACTTGGAGAAGATCTGCAAAAAGGAGTGGGACAAAATCCCTCCTGAGATGTGTGCAAACCTGGTGGCCAACTACAAGAAACGTCTGACCTCTGTGATTGCCAACAAGGGTTTTGCCACCAAGTACTAAGTCATGTTTTGCAGAGGGGTCAAATACTTTTTCCCTCATTAAAATGCAAATCAATTTATAACATTTTTGACATGCGTTTTTCTGGATTTTATTGTTGTTATTCTGTCTCTCACTGTTCAAATTAAGCTACCATTAAAATTATAGACTGATCATTTCTTTGTCAGTGGGCAAACGTACAAAATCAGCAGGGGATCAAATATTTTTTTCCCTCACTGTAAATGGTTTCCGAAAATTGTCGACCCCCCCCCCCTAAAAAATATTTTTACCCCTGCGTAGGCATATATACCTACACACCCTACATACAATAGAGTAAGTAGTATCTAGTGACTCTGTAGTAGTATCTAGTGACTCTATAGTAGTATCTGCTGACTCTGTAGTTGTATTTGCTGACTGTAGTAGTAACTATTGACCGTAGTAATAGTAGTATTTTCCGACTCGATAGTAATTACTGACTCTATAGCAGTATCTACCAACTCTATAGTAGTAACTACTGACTCTATATAGTAGTATCCACTGACGATAGTAGTAACTACTAATGCTACAGTAGTATCTACTGACTCTATAGTAGTAACTACTGACTGTATAGTAGTATATACTGACCGTAGTAGTATCTACTGACTGTATAGTAGTATCTACTGACTCAATAGTAGTATCTACTGACTCTATAGTAGTATCTATCGACTCTATAATAGTATATATCGACTTAAAACTTTCGTGACTGCAGGAATTCATATTCTATTGTTCTTTCGGTAAATAAATAGACGTTGACAAGGTTGTTATAAATCTGAGTAATAGCCCTATTTCTGATGGTCTAAAGTCGGTTTTAGCTAAAGGGTTAAACTTTGCAGTCACCCCCAAACACATACAAGTGGATGACATCGCTGCAGACGTGACAAGATCTGAAATCGCTGCAACCCTCAAAAGCGCTAAGATACCAGTCAGCAACATCAGTAAGGAGAAGCGCTTTTAGTTATTTCAATTAAAAAAGAGGGAAGATATCGCCATCCTCTCAGCCGACAAGGGGAATGCCACGGTCATCATGGACAAAAACGTGTACAATAACAAAATTCAGGACCTACTTAATGATGGCAGCTACACAAAAATTTAAAGATATCCCACCAACTGCCTCGTTACAAAAACGAACAGTATCATCACTGATCCAGCTTCATTAAATGAACAGACCAAACGGTTTTCCTTAAAACCTTCTGCTACTAGAACACCCAGACTATAGGGTTTACCAAAAATCCATAAAGAAGGTACACCCTTTTGTCCCATCGTCTCCACCATTGGCTCACCCAACTACAAACTGGCCCGATATGTCTGAGACCTTGCAGCCATTCACTGGTAAGACCACATCTTCTGTTCTTAACTCAGCTCACCTGGTATCGTCAAAGACATCTCACTGTCCCCAGGTGATTTGCTCGTTAGTTTCGATATAGTTTGTCTGTTCACCAAAGTTCCTGTGCCCGATACCATTACAATAATTGAAGATTTGGTCCAACAAGGACTGAATGCTCATGTACCAGCCCTGGTGAGACACTGCCTCACCAATACATACTTCACTTGGAATGGAATATTCTACAAACTAACTGAAGGCACCCCAATGGGTTCTCCCTTATCTCCGGTTGTGGCCAACATTTTCATGGAAAATTTTGAGACGGACGCCATCCAGGCATCCACTCTATGCCCGTCCTTGTGGAAGAGATACATGGATGGCACTTCGTCATCTGGCCACATGGCCGACCGGCTCTGAAACAATTCCTCAACCACATCAATTCCATACACCCAGCCATCAAATTCACCATGGAGGTGGAAAAGGATAGCTTGCTACCCTTCTTGGATATCTTAATCAAAAAGAGACCAGATGGCGCAATGAGCCACTCTGTCTACAGGAAAGTAACCCATACTGACGCCTACCTAAAACCTGATTCCCAAACCTGATTCCCACCACCGTCCATGCGATGATATTAGCATAAATGACGCAATATAAAATCAAAGTATGACTATCATCATGATCAGAGCCAAGGTCAATCCACTGCTGGATGAAGGCAACTGTCACGCTCTTTCAGGATCCTGCGGCATAACAAGCACCTGCACAAGAGCTGATCTCATCGCTCCATCTCCTCTGTGGGTTAGCCCCCGGCCCTACCACTTCACCCATTCCCTTGACCATTCCCTTGGCCGCCACTCCGTCGTGACTCTCAACCGATCTCGAGGGGTACCCCGAGAGCCAACGCCGCAAAAGGCGCAGCCCCGTCCGTTTCCGTGTTGTCAACTTACAATAAAAACGCAGGCAAATAGCGTCAAAGAATTAATTATGGAACATTTCAGAGTAGTGCGGGGGTTGGGGGGGTCAGGTCTGCCCACGCGCGGTGACTCACATCGTGGTGGGGGTTGGGGGGGGTGTTGGGGGGGTGTTGGGGGGGTGTTGGGGGGGGTTGGGGGGGGTGTTTGGGGGTATCCCCCCCAGGGCTCACGCGGCCCCTCCCCACCCCATCCAGCGCTCTCAGCCGCGCACATTTCATCATCGTCGTCGTGCCCACTGTGCCCACTCTGCGCCCACGTTCGGTGACTTCTGAATTCTTTCCAACTCGGCTCCCACACCGCCCCCATCCTGCCCCTCCCACCACCCTGCACAATCAAAGACTCCCTCCCTCACTCCGTCTGCCCCACTCCTTCCCTCTCTCTCCGCCTGCCCGCGGAATCTGCGTACGTCCTTTCCCCTCCCACCACACCTTCCTCCTGCAGACGTCCTCCCACACTCGGGAGACTTCGCACCATTGTCTCTCGGACAGAGTTCCGACGGCAATGCCGGCGAGGTGCAGATAGCGCGCCCGGCGTGTGATGCGCGCGTCGGCGAGCGTGCCGCGAGTGTGTGAAGTGTGGAAGCGTGCGCTGCGGTGGCTAGGAGATGTTAACTGCTTCGCTTGGTACGCAGGAGGTCGTGGGTACGATCCCGACCCTGACGCCTGCTGTATATTTGGAGTTTGCGTGTCTCTCTCTCATCATCATCACGGTGGCTAGGAGATGTTAACTGCTTCGCTTGGTACGCAGGAGGTCGTGGGTTCGATCCCGACCCTGACGCCTGCTGTATATTTGGAGTTTGCATGTTCTTCCCGTGGTGGCATGGATTTGTTCTCCGGACCCCTCCTGTTTTCCTCTCCACATTTAGAATCAACGCGCGTATTTGGCTGCTAAACACTTCCACGTAAGCCACTTTGTTGAGCTATCATTCGTGACCTGGTCACTTTTGAAAAAGATCTACATATCTCAGTGGTCCTTACCTGGTAAAAAAAAAACGTATTTTTTATTCGAGTGCGGTGGACAGCGGCGGTGGTAGGGGCGGTGATGCTGCGGTGTTTGTGGTTTCCGGGGCGAGCGCGGCCGGTGGGTACCTTGTCTCGGATCCCCTGCCGCATGTTCTCTCGCTCGGCCTCCATCTTCGCGTACTTGGATTTGCGCTCCTCCTCCTGTTGCCGCAGGGCCTCCTGTTGCTCCTCCTGCTTCTTCTCGGCGTCCGGGTCCTTCTCCTCGTTGCCGCCCATCATCTTCCCCATGTCCTTCGTCGCTCCTGCGGGGGTGGCGCGGGGGGGGTGGGGGGGGGGACATCGAGCGCTCTGCGTGAGACAGGCAGACGGACGGGTGGGGACGGGTGCACTGGGAGATGGGGGAGACGGGGTGGGGGTTGGTGGCTTAGCAGGACAGGGGGACAGATGGACGGGTGGTAAAACGACAGACGCCAGGAGACAGCGCGACGGAGTGACAGAGACGTTAGAGAGACGGAGGCAAGGAGACAGAGATAAAGCCCGATGGATACAGGGAGAGCAGACTTGGCGATAGATGGGAGAAGCAGAGAGAGAGAGAGAGACACACACACACAAGGGGACAGGCCGACAGTGATTCAATGAAACAAGGAAACAGAATGAGAGACGGGACAGGGTGAGATTGGTGTGATACATGGAATGGGGGGCCCTAAAGTGATGTCAGGACACCAATCGAGACACCCAGAGCCCTGTCCCTGCCTCTCAATTCAGGCATTTCGCGTGATAATGGAACCTCACACTTTATGATGCCCCGCAAGAATTTCCGAGCTTATATGTGAATTTTGGCAAGAGATTGGAGGGGAGAGGGTTCGTGGAGAACTAGGGGGGGGGGGGGGGGCGAGAGGGGGGGGGTGCTCAGGGATAGGTGTGAGGGATGGCGTGGGGGGGGGTTGTGGGGTGCGGGAGGTGTGTGTGGGGGGGGTGGGGAGGTTCGCACGCGGGAGGGAGCTGCGGCGGATTTCCGCCACGCGGATTGTCGTCCCGTCGCTTTCCAGCACGGAGCAATTTTCTTACCAAGAAAAACGAATCAATGCTTTCGATCGCGGAGTGCCGCCAGCGCTGACCGAGGAGCCGCGCCATCGGCCCCGAGGCGCTCGGCCCTAATCGAGCCGGACGCATTCCAGACGCGGCGCCCTGGCGTCTCTATCCCGCCTCTACCCCGCTCCCCGAGTTTCCAATTTGTTCTCACGCACGCGCCGCTTGCGCGCCTTTTTTTCACGGTAAGTTCGTCCGCACTATTGGTAGGTGGGGGTCGGGGGAGGACGGGGACGCAACTAAACCCTCCCCCCCCCCCCGTGTTTTGTTTAAGAGTGCAATGCTCGGAGGCACTCACGTGCCGATGCGCGTGCGTCTGCTGTCGACTCAGCCTCAAAACGAGCACCTGGCGCGATGTGTGAAACATCGCCACTGGGGAGACAAAGGCGGCTGGCCGGGCGTGGTGCCGGCGACCCACACCCTCGTCTGCCGTGCTTGCCCCAACAGTCCGCTCAGACTAAACTGGGCATCTTTGTTGTGCGTGTTTGTGTTGGGGGGTGTTGGGGGGTGCTGGGGAAGGGCAGCACCGTGGTTGGCGCACTGCGCTACGATCCCGGTCACATGAGTTGGAGTCCCGGCCACGCAGCACTGTTGACGAGTGGAATCTCAGCTAACAGCGCTTGCTCCTGCAGTCTGTTAAGGCTATACGGGTGATATTTTTTATTTGTGCCTGCTGTATTCGATGTGAAGCGGTGGTTCGGTGAGCGAGCTCTCTCTCTCTCCTGAAGCCCCTCCCGTCGCGGCCAGCTCATCTCGACTTTGGCATTTAGCTCCTGAACGCGTTGCTGTCAATAATACGCGAGAGCGGTGACTATGATGATGATGATGATCATCATCATCATCATACTGCGCTGCGGACTCGGTGATCTGTCGAGTTCGATCCCCGGCCAGGGCCAGCATCGGTGGTCATAATCTGAACCGATTCTGGGCCTCCCTTTAAATGAGTACCTGGTGCGGTGTCTAAACAGAAACACGAGGCACACAACGGCGGTCGGATGTGGTGATGCCCCCCCCCCACCCACCACATAAGGGCACCGTGCCAACCTTCATAGACGTCGTTTGCTCTGGTTCCTTGAACTTCGTTAGAACCGTGCAAACAGAGCAATTCTAAAGAAATTCGTTCTCAATCTAGAATTCAAAAGTGGATCGCTCCAGCAGCTTCCTAATATCGCTCCCGTGGCTTCTTAATACCAAACGGCACTTGCCCCAACAGTAGGTGAAGGCTACACGGGGGACATTTGTCTCTGTGTGTGTGCGCTTGTATTGGTGGCACACTGCGCTCTGATCCCCCCCCACCCCCACCCACCCGCTTTTCTTTCAGCACCCAGCCGCGCGCAACGTCAGTGGCGCGTGCTATCTATGTTGTCTTTCGCTGGCACTCTCGTAGGTCAACTCAGCCTTAAATTAATACACGGCGTGGTGCGTAGGCGTCGGTCGTTAGTCACGCGACGATCGATTCCCACGCTCTCGATGCACGCGGTCAATCGTGCCGCGTGACGATTGCGAATTCACGAGACATGCGAATGATATGCTAATAGCACGCTGATGTTGTGTGTAAACTAACGGAGCAAACAAAGCTCACACAAATAAGATATGAAATTAAGAAATAATGCGAAAGGAGACGATAAAAGTGGAACTAATAATAATACATTATTTTATTTAAGTTTGGCCCCAAATCATGTGACACTCTGACCTTAAAATCCAAACTCTACTTTATAGGAATTGGCCAAGCACGTCTTGAAACTCAACGAGGCTTTCCAGGGTAAACAAATAGTTAAATATTTGTAAACAGATAGTTCAATATTTGTTTGCTTATTTGTGCTATAATCGCAATCGGAAAGGTTACGAGTCCAAACACTGGATTGGGGTTGACTCAGCCCATCATCCTTCCAGGGTCGATAAAACGAGTACCACATTGTGAATAAGTCAACAGTGGTTGTCCGATGGATGCTCACCCATGCCATTCGAATAATGGAATTTCCGGCACTGGCTGTGCAGGGCTGTAAACGGGAAATGAGCACCGATGCCCCAATGCTCAGTTGAGCCAGGAAATCACTTTGACTTTTGAGTTCCCATTAAAGGTTCTCGCTGACAGGCCCTCTGGCCTACGAGGGTAAATGGACGATCCTTGAGTGTGCGAGAGAAAACGCGTCTCATCATTGCGGACCACTGAGGATGCGGTCCCGGTGGGGTGGGAAAGTGGGGGGGGGGGGATAAGGAGTGGGGGCGGGGTGGTGGGGGGGGTCTGTGAGCCAGAAGCCCCATCCCTTGTGGGACCGGATTTGAGCGTGGGCCAAGGAACACGGAGCCGTAAAAAAAAACCATGACAGCGCCATTGAATTATTCTTCGAATAAAAACGTCCACGCGGAAATGAGGAACCGCTGAAGTGAAACCCTGAACACAAAACAAGGAGAAATATCGCCACGTAAATTCTCGGGCGTGTTATACAGGTACACACACTACCATGTACACACACGCCCGTGTACACACACGCCCGTGTACACACACGCCCGTGTACACACACGCCCGTGTACACACACGCCCGTGTACACACACGCCCGTGTACACACACGCCCGTGTACACACACGCCCGTGTACACACACGCCCGTGTACACACACGCCCGTGTACAAGGCGGAATCACACGGAGAGGCTCAGGGGCCTGGAGCAGCCAAGGTGACTTTGTCCGAGATTGGATTTAGCCGCTGATGATTTTATAAAATAAACTTTGTTTCGGGCCAATTTGAGAACCAACGCAATTAATGCAGCAACAAAGGGAATCACAAGATGAATTTCCGTGTTATATAAATGCATGTATTTCGCTCTGGTAATTAAGTTTTACACGGATTCTGGAGAAGGGGGGTCACAACAGCAGTATCCGGAACTCGTGTGTAATTGCAAGCGCGCGTGCGTGTGTGTGTGCGAGCGGGGGATCCGAGACTGGGATGGAACCGTGCCTTGGTCAAGCCACTGCTGGATTAAGGTCTTCCCAGTACGCCACCGTCTCTCGCGATCCTGTGATGTAACGATCCACTCAGCGCTCGCACTCACGAGCGGATTTCTACTCCGCTCAACGCTTTTAGTCAAATCCACCTCCACCCAGGGCCAGGCCTGGCTCCAGCTTCTCTCGGATGGTGAAGCGGGGGGGAGGGGGGGGGGCAGTAGGATTGTTGTGTCGGGGGGGGGGGGGCACCATAGCATTTATAATTATTTAGCATTCCGAGTATTTGGCTGCTATATACTGTATTTCCACGTAATAAGCCACGACGTTGAGCTATTATTTGTGGCCAGGTCGCTTCTGAAAAAAGAACTGTACAGCTCAGTCGCACTTACCTGGTAAAATAAAAAAAACTAAGCAGAGTGAAAGTTGGAGCGCCTGCCCTGGCTCCACAACAGCCCCAGCTGGTGGGGCCCACCGCCCCCCACCACCAACGTGGCCCTCGCCGTAAGGCAGCGTTCTTCACAAATGTTCAGAGGGGAGGGGAGCACTTTCGCCGATAAGACATCATCATTTGAAACCATTGTTGGGTTTGATAGCAGCACGATGATGATGGGGGGAGGTTTCACTATTTGTGATTTGTAGATTGTCGGCGGGGGGGGGGGCAGGCGCACGTCAGGGGCCGCACTCAAGGCCACCAGGGGCCGTCAGTGGCCCGTGGGCCTTGCGACGAAGGACACCGCTGATGTAAGGGGCACGCGGCGAGAAGGGGCAGAGACGTGCGCCGGGGCTATCCGCGGGCACTCTCGCGGAACGGCATCGCGGCGAGACGCGAACGCCGATCGCCGCCGTTGCGTTGCTGTGCCACGAAATGGTGCAAAATTCCATTCACACCCCGAGCCGCGCAGGACGCAACCAAATCAGGAAGAGATTGGCTTTTTTTTGTTGGACCCAATATTATTTGTTTAACGTCCGTGGTTTGAATAGTGATCGGGACGAGTCACGCAGCGTGCAGATCTCCATGCGGGAGTAATTTCAATTTAGATGACTCAAAATCCCGCCGCTCAATAACGCGCCTTTTCTTTCGAACCCTCCTAATTGACGCGCAAATTTGAGATGCGTTTGGGAGATTTCTGAAAATCTCTAATACGGGGCTTATTTCGACGTGGTTTTTTTATCCCCGTGTCTCCCCACCACGGAGCACTGCCTCTAAACCCTAGCCGGGGGGGGGGGGGAGATGCGCCACGCGGTGGCATCAGGAGGCACACAGCTTCG